AAAAGGCATTGTACATCTAAGTTGTTTTTTTTTTTTTTTAATGATATATAGGAAACACAATTAAATTGGGCAATCTTGTATATAATCCTCCAAGAAACGGTCCTACCTTGTGGGAAATTGGCATCCCTGATCGGACTGCTGCTGAGTATTTTGTGCCTGATCCAAACCCGAACCTTTTGAACCAACTATATGTTAACAATGGTGAAAAGTATGTGTGAAGTGCGAATGCATGGATAAATATGTTTTCTTCCGCTGATATTTATTCCAATTCTACACAAGCATATTTACATTACTTGTAACTCAACAGGTTTAGGCAGTACGGTTTATGGGATCGCTACACAGAACTGTATTATCAGCAAGATTTAGTTTATACAGTTGGTGTCAGTAATTATCAGACAGATTGGTATTTCGCTCAAGTAAACAGGTATAGGATAAAACTTTTTGGCTCTCTTGATTATTTGATTATTTATAGTTCTAGTTTTAAACTTGAATATAGGAATACAGGAAATAAAACATACATTCCTACCACATGGCAAATTTTATTTGATCTTGATTATATTGACGAGCAAGGAAATTACACGCTTCAACTGGCATTGGCATCGGCTACTGATGCTGAATTGCAGGTATACTCTCCATCGAGTTCAAGCTTCATTTGCTTTTATTATCTTTTTCTTTTTTCCCACTTGTAAGAGATAAGTACTTTCTTTAATTCAATATAAATTTGGATGTTTAGGTCCGAATGAACGTTCCAAGTACAAAAGTACCTCATTTTTAAACAGGTCTGATAGGTAAAGACAATTCTATTGCTAGGCATGGCATCCATGGTTTGTACTGGTTATACAGTATTAGTATACCGGGATCTCTACTCCTCCCCGGAACAAACAGAGTTATTTTAACTCAATCAAGAGGTGCAAGCCCTTGGAAGGGAATCATGGACGACTATATTCGTCTTGAAGGGTCCTCGGAAAATATTGATAAGCGAAGACACAGAAAAGTATCTACTCCATTCAGAGAGCCTGTACGTAGATAGGTACCTTTGTTGGATACAGTTTAATTAGCTTAGTTAAGAAGGAAATTATTGCCCCTTAGAACTAGAACTCATTGAAGGGGACACAGAGGAGGATGTAGAAGAGAAGTTTTAGTGTTAAGAGGTCAGCTAATTTTGCATGGGGTAACCCTGCTGGTGTAACTATGGAAAAGGGCGTTTGAGACTATACTGTAGCTTAGTTAAGAAGGAAATTATTGCCCCTTAGAACTAGAACTCATTGAAGGGGACAGAGAGTAGGATGCAGAAGAGAAGTTTTAGTGTTAAGAGGTCAGCTAATTTAGTATGGGGTAACCCTTCTGGTGTAACTATGGAAAAGGGCGTTTGAGACTATTTTCTTTTTTATGGAAAATATTTCATTTCTGTCAACGCTAAACTCAGTCTTGGGACAATTAGTAATTCGTTTAAGACTCCCAACTTGAATGTTATTTCTCCAAACAAATTTTCTGGAATAAGTTTGGCAGTTGGCGTGAATTCTACGAGCTCGGTTTATTTACTTGACTTTGAATTCTTTTATGTGCGAAAAGTCTTTTTTTCATCTTCATAAAATTTGCCTGTAGGAAGTGGAAAAATAGCCATGCTCTTGGTTTAGATATTTATGAAAGTCAAGACCATGTTTTTAATGCATAAACTCTCGAGACTTCCTTCTTTTTTTATTTATTATTATTATTATTATTATTATTATTATTATTATTATTATTATTATTATTATTATTATTTTATTTATTTATTATTATTTTTTTTGGAGTTTGCACCCAGTATATAAATCTCATCAGAAATTGAAAATAAACCATTAACTCATCGATGAGTTAGTATTTTGTGCATATGTATAAATTTGTTTGAATACACGTAAGCACGTGTTTGAGATAAGTTTTGATTAATTCATATCCTTTGATTTTTTTTTTTATTATTATTCAAACAGTCAAAATTTGTGGGCAATCTTTAGGTTTAGTTATTTTTTCCAATTCGTTAATTACTGACCGGATTATTGACGAACTAAATCGAACAAATTATTGCAAATTTGCCAAAATGTTGGGCCAAACTGCCTAAACTGAAAATTTGAAAAATCCACCAATGGACTTCCAGATAATATTTGACAAAGAGTTGGCGGCTAGTATTTTCTTATGATTTTTTCATTTACTTGTATGCCTAAATGTGGACTCGAAAAAGGTAAAATGTCAAGTATTGAAAGATTGAATCGATGTCAAATCGGGATCGAATCGATTGTCAAAAATAAAGAAATAAATTTATATTCTACAAAATGACAATTAATTCGGGATTCGATTGTCAAAAATAAAGAAATAAATTTATATTCTACAAAATGACAAAAATAAATTAATTTTTCAAATTAATATTATATAAACAAAAGTACTCATTTATGAGTGAACTTTGCCACGTTTAATTTTGTTATATGTGGTGGTGAATTGCTTAAATAATTTTACAGTATTTTAGATATGTTAATAAAACTAATTAATAAAGAAAAAATAAATCGAAATGAAAATTAAAAAAAAAAAAGTTAAATCAAGAAATCATTAATTCTGGGCTTAGGTTTTTCTTGGGCGGTTTTCAAATAATAATTTTTATAATGGGGCTTACAAAGCTACCTTTAAAATTAAGAGTCTTTTGAAAAATAATATGAAAAGTTTTTTGAAAGTAAAAAATACTATATGATATTAAAAAGCGATACAATATCACTTTTTATTAAAAAATAACATACAATATCACTTTTATTAAAGATGATGTTTGTCACTAAAAAAAGTGATAGAAATTAATAAAAGTGTGTTTGATTGGCATAAAAAATATCACCTAGAAAAGAAAATATTTTCCTTCTTTTGTGGAAAATAAAAATTACTTCCATCCAAGTAAAATATTTTCCTTTAAAACAAGGAAAATTATGCATATTTTCAAAAGTTGAAAAATGTTTTCCATAGAAAAAATTAGCAATCAAACACTCCAAATAGGTTTTTGGGTGGAAAATTGATATTTTTTATGAAAAATAAATTTAATCAAACACACCCTAAGATATTAAGAAAATGACAAACACTAAAAGAAAAGTGACAAAAAAAAAAAAGGTGAGAAATACTAAAAAAAAGTGTTTTTTTTTTAAAAAAAATGATGAATTCAAAAAGTTACACATTAAAAAAGTGACACCACTCAAAAATAAAAAAAAAATCAAAAATATGACAAACTCAAAAAAGTAACAATTTAAAAAAAAAAAAAAAAAAGAAAAAACAAAAAAAAAAAAAAAAAAAAAAAAAGAAAAACTCAAAAAAAAAAAAAATTAAAAAAAAAAAAAAAAAGTGACACAAATTTAAAAAAAAAAAGTGACAGAAAATAAAAAATTGACAAACACTCAAAAATTGTGAAAAAGTGACTTTTAATTTTGTTTTGGCATCACATCTTTTAACTTATTTATGGGCTATATTTCTTCACTTGTTAGGTGATATTTTTTTTTATCATTTCGAAGTATTCACGATCAACTTTGAAATACATCTTTTGAAATTGAAAATCGATAAACGAGATGCTCACCAAGTCAAAACTGGCCACAAGAAGTGTCAAATCCCCATATTGTTGCATCAATAATGGTAGACTAATTGATTTCTATCATATAATATTAACCAAAAATCATTAGCCATTTAAACAAAACCTCCCCCGGTTGTTGCATCGAAAGATTATTTGAAAAAAAAAAAAAATTATATATATATATATATATATATATATAGCTTGTATAATTTATTCAAGAAATTGCAGTGCGGTACCTCAAATACAAATTTGTCGAGTAAAAATCGAATTACAGGGAAAAAAAGACGAAAAATGGAAGGATTATGCAATCTTCATTTTCTGGTTACGATTCCTGCTCCCAGTCAATCGATTTCACTGATTAAAGAAAACACATTCTAAAGATTGAATGAAACATAAGTTATTGCTAGTTTATGTATGTATATGAATGTGCCTCGGTGGGTATGTGAGATTAGTTGGTTTTGTGGTCTTTTTTGTGCAATTAATATGAAGCTGTAGAGCATTTAAAAATACAGTATTTTATACTTTTTAATAACTTTTCACATGATTTTTCAAACGTGCCTCATATTTAGGTTCTGTTTCACACATATTATTTAAAAAATTAAGAGTTTTGAATATTATTTTTGGAGAATGCGTGGTTAAAAGTGAAATTTTTTTATTAATTTGTGTGTAGAATATTTTATTATATTAATATGTAGTGAAGAATGATGCTGTAACAAATAATATAAATTTTTAAAGGTTGTCAAACAAGGCCTAGGGTACATAGTTTAATTTCCTCTTATATAATTGTATCATCATATTACGATAACCAAGTAACAATCCAAAAGGATTTTTATTTTTTCTTTATATCACTTCTACCTTTTAATTTATTCAACTTTTATAATTAAAAAAAAAAAATAGTTTAACGAGTGTTTTACAACTTTCATTTCTTTCCTTAAAAAAAATAATAAAAAAATTTAAACTTATAACAGTCAAAGGTCAGTAATACAATCAAACTAAGCATTGAAAAATTAGGCTATAATTGGGTGGCCCAACTTGTTACTTAGGTTGAAAAATGTTAAAAATGAATTTTAAGAGCCAACCCAACTTATCAAACCGGTTAAATCGATCGCGGGAGACGTTCTCGGATGATCAGGCCAATTACTCTCTCTCTCTCTCTCTCTCTCTCTCTCTCTATATATATATATATATATATATATTTTTTTTTTTTTTCGATTGAACTGATCGAGCCGGTTCTAGTTCGCACAAACAAACTAGGACACTTATTCCATTTTGAAAATAACGTAAGAAAGTTCAACAAATTAACAAGTGTATTCGTATTACCAACTTCCGTGCCTAAAACAATATTCCCAAGTCAAAGTCCTGGGCCATGTACTAGTATTCGGATATAAAATTTTAATCTATATAAGAGACTCACACGAACTGCTCCATTAACATTGCTTTTGAAATTAAATTAAAACAAAATAATAATATAAGGCTTCAGGCTTCTGCTCTTGATCGGTGACGTCTTCTTCTTCAAGGTAGTCCTTAATCTTGCATGCTGTCTTTACATGTTACTGCTGTATGTGCTGAGTCGACGCGATTCTTTTTTATTCACTTCGTTTTATAATCTGAAACATGTTCTATATTGTTGGTTAGCAGGTTCTTTTGTTGTCGCAAAAATGGAGAAGACACGAAGGTTTTTAGTTTTAGGGTTTCTTGCGATTGTGTTTTCATTGTTCTTGCATGTCGATTCTGCTCCGAATATCCCCAAGAGGTTTGATCATTACAAAACCATCTCTTTGCTTCAGTTTATTTACAACAGCCATTCTCTAACTCATGCAAGTAACTATGTAAGACATTCAATTCGGAGAAATGCTACATGTATAGGGTGTTCTTACGTACTGTTTTACAGAATGTCAGGTGACAAGAGTTTATTAAATTTTGAACAAAAAATAAAGTTAAACCAATAATGAAGCGTTGTCATCTCAGCATCTGTAAACCCATCTGTACGAGTGGCGTTTTTGTTCAATTTGAATGTGAAGTTCTTAAAAACATTTATGTAAGATAACTTGCACCAAATAAGGCAATAACTCTGGTTTCAAAGTTTGAGTTTTAGAAGTTCTTATTGGAATGAGAATGGTGTTTCCAAAATTTTTCTTCCTCCAGAAGTAAGACAGTTGTGTTACCCTCATAACATGATTTTGTAATAACATTATTCCTATCCTTCGGTCCATTTTTAAATACCATTGAGGTTCTATCTTAAAATGTCAACCTTTTTAAGAGAAATAGTCTAAGTCCTTATATGTTGGTCTATATTTTCATCTTCATTCAATGTGGAATTTTATTCTTTAATATGTCGCGCAAGATGACATCTTGTTTGAGTAAATTAATTTTAAAATTCATGTGCTCATTTCTTTGAGTTTTTATCGGATCGAGTTTTTCATTGGATATCAATGAACTCTGATATCATATTAAATACTTGAAATTTCATCTTAAAAGGTCAATCATTTTAAAAAAAAGTAATCCAAATCCTTATGTGTTGTTCTATATTTTCATATTTATCCCTTAACAATTTTCAAGAAAAAAAAAATATATATTATTTGCATCATAATGGATTAGCATTTTTTGGCAGTTGGATATTAGGCATCCAACTATTCACTACTCCACAAAGTCCATTGACTTTATTTACCGATTAACAAGTTAAATACAACTTTACGCGTATAAGAAAAAAGAAAGCAACAGACCACTATCTACGGAAACTAAGAAATCAACATCTTTGATTTTTATTCCATTCAACTTCTTATAATATACAAATAAGTCCATAGATACTGCATTTTTTCCTGAGTTCATATTTATCTTATCATCCGTCAATTAGCTTCTCTCTCTCTCTCTCTCATTTTGTCAATTGCTGACTTATGTAATTAATAATTGAATTTGCAGGACTGATGAGGAGCAGATGCCATCTTCTCCAGTCAAACTGAATAAATGGAAAGACCGTGTAAGCCTAAATTACCACATAAACTTCTTATACTGATCGTGATATTCAATACTTTCGACATATCTAGACATTGGACGACATTAAGAACAAAAACAAACTATTTCTTTTGTCAATTATAATGTACATGTCCAATATGACGATCCAAATACGCTTTTTATGTTCGTGTTTTTAATATCAATTAAGTGTTTTGCACAGTTCTTGAAGGGAAAAATTTGGAAGAAGAAAAGGATTTGCAAAATAAATTCATTATGGAATTACGTACATTACTCCTTAGAAAATATATTGGCGATAATATATATCCAAATTGATTAGAATTATTTTTTGTTTGCAGGTAATGTTGGACAACGGCATTGTTAAACTCACATTATTATCTCCAAGTGGTTTGATCGCTGGAATACAATACAAAGGAGATGAGAATATCCTCGAAAATCATTTCAAAGAATCCAGACGAGGGTGAGTTGCGTTAAACCAATATATAATCTATGAATGAAATTGTAAAATAAGTTCTTGAAAAGCAAATATTTTGCTACAAATTCTTCATGAATCACCAAACAAATTATAATCCCCTTTTACGTCTAAAAGTAACTCGTACTTTACATGGATTTGCATATTTAGGTATTGGGACATGGTATGGAGTAGGCCACCAGACCTCAAAAGTTATTTCAACGAGTAAGTTAAAAATTTGGGTCTTCTAGAATTTCAAAATTTGTGTCCACGATCAAGAATACTTATTTAGGTAAATAAAAATTATTATTTGACTTCATTAAATTATGTAGGCTTGAAGGGACAAGTTTCAAAGTTATAGTGGAAATGGAAGATATGATCGAAATTTCATTCACCAGAACATGGAATTCCTCCGATAGTTACTCATACCCGCTGAATGTCGATATAAGGTGGAATTCAATTTATTTATTATGGATAGCATAGCATATTCAACAACTTAATAGAGTTCGCCTAACTAATACATTTCTTTTACAGATATATAATGTTGCGTGGAAGCTCCGGTTTCTATTCATATGCCATAAAGGAACATTTAGAACGATGGCCAGATTTAAATATTGATGAATCAAGAATAGCTTTCAAACTTAACGATGAAACGTAAGATATGACAATTAGAAACTTTAAAATGCATTACATACTCGATGTCAAATTTTATAATATTAACTTTATTTTGTATATAGATTCAATTACATGGCTATATCAGACGACATACAAAGGATCATGCCAACAGCTCGTGATCGTACGCTAGGCCAAGTTCTCAACTATAAAGAAGCTGTTTTATTAACAAATCCTGGCAATCCATCCCTCAAAGGCCAGGTAGGTGTCTAAACATTGATTCAATAACCTAAATGTGGTAATTCATTCCTATGCCATAAAACCTCCCCGTATCTATCCAGTGAGAGTAATGCTATGTAGTCCTACTCGGATTGTAACCTCGGTCATTAGCGCTACATAGACTAGAGTTGCAATTCCATTAGGGCTAAATAGCATTACGTCCAGTGAAATATATCTATTGACTTTGTAAATCTTCTTCCAGGTGGACGACAAGTACCAGTACTCGTATGACAACAAGGATAGCTTGGTTCACGGGTGGATTAGCACTCAACGAGACATAGGATTTTGGGTTATAACACCAAGCAACGAGTTTCGTGTTGGTGGCCCAGTGAAAAATGATCTTACATCTCATGTTGGCCCGACCTCCTTAGCTGTAAGTAGATCTTATTTAGTAGAATTTCCTTTAACCTCACAAAGTAAACGTTTCATAAAGTTCTTGACAACGTATAGGAAAATAGATTCTTCATTTATAATCTTTAAGTAAGCATTTAATTTACACTTTCTTATTCACTATTTCCTTTTGAATTATCCACGTCCAGGTATTTTTGAGTAACCATTATGCTGGACCACGGTTTGGAGTTAGATTACGAAATGGAGAGCCGTGGAAGAAAGTCTTTGGGCCTGTTTTTATATATCTCAACTCAGGTTCAAGTAACAAGCCAAGCACACTTTGGACAGATGCTAAAGGACAGGTCATTTTCATGAAACAAAATACAATAAATATTGAAAACCTATTTTTGGTTTTTCTTCACGAACCTAACTCCTATTTCTTACTCCATCAGATGCAAAAAGAAACCCAAAAATGGCCATATGATTTCCCACGTTCAGAGGACTTCCCTCATTCCATTCAAAGGGGTACCATTAGCGGTCGATTATTAGTCCATGACAAGTATCTCAATCGAGAATCCATGCCTGCAAAATCAGCATATGTGGGATTGGCTCCAAGAGGAGATGTGGGATCTTGGCAAACAGACACTAAGGTTATATATTATTTGACATAAATTTAATATATCTACTTCTATAAAACTTATATAAGTAACAACATTAGGTTAATTTGTACTTTCACACAGGTAGATATTAATTATTTTTCTCAATATTATTATTAGGGTTATCAATTCTGGAATCAAACGGACGAAAATGGTTACTTCACAATAAGAGGTGTTCGAGGAGGTACTTACAGCTTGAATGCTTGGGTCCCAGGAGTGATGGGTGACTATAAATATGAAACTGATATCGTCATCACACCAGGTTTTAATCTAAAAGCCTATTGAATTTTATGCTTAAAAGTTGAAAAATCATTCCTAAATGCAATCTATAAAGAAAACAAACATCTTTCACTCAAATTGTGATTTTTGGTACAGGGAGACAAAATCAACTAGGCAATCTTGTATATAGACCTCCAAGAAATGGTCCTACCCTATGGGAAATCGGGATTCCCGATCGTACTCCCGCTGAGTTCTACGTGCCCGATCCAGCGCCACAGTTCATGAACCGTTTATTTATCAACCAAACTCAGAAGTAAGCTCTCAATAAAATGATGCCACTATTTTGAGCTTATTAAAAAAAAAAAAAAATGTTCTTCAACAATTTCTAATAATCACTTCTCTGATATTCAGGTACAGACAATACGGATTGTGGGATCGATATACAGATTTATACCCCGAAAAAGATCTAGTATACACTGTTGGCACCAGTGATTACAGGAAAGATTGGTTTTTTGCTCATGTCAACAGGTATTTAGGACAAGCTTTGATGATCATTCTGTTCATCTAAAAGATAAACTTGCAGATTAATTCCAAATTATAAATATGTATTTTGCAGGAGAAGAAATAGTACATACATGCCAACGACATGGCAAGTTTCATTTGATTTAACAAATGTTGTAAGGACACGAGTCTATACACTCCAGATAGCGCTAGCTTCTGCTACCCATTCCGAAATAGAAGTAAGATTTGGAAAAAAAAAAAAAAAACTATCATTTCTTACATGATAATGATTAATGAATCTATTTAATGTTGATTTTTTGTATTCTTATAGGTTCGAATAAATATTCCATTCACACCACGTCCTGACTTTACGACAAGATTGATAGGAAGGGATAATGCAATTGCAAGACATGGACTTCATGGATTATACTCATTACATAGCATAAGTGTACCAGGATCTAAACTCGCGAATGGAAGAAATATAATATATCTAAAGCAATCAAGAGGTGGTTATCCTTTCAATGGAGTCATGTATGACTACCTTCGCTTTGAAGGGCCACCGGAAGTGAGTCGGTAGACTCATCAATTAATTTAGTTTTACATGGTACATTTTTTTGATAGTCCTAGGAAATAAGTGAAAATCATACGTTAGTTTGGAAACTCTAGATTAATTGGAAGAGCTACAATTGTAATTTTTCTTCCATACGTGCACTGCACACAAATTTGTTCATTTTATGACTTGTAATTTGATCTTTTAAAGTTTCAACTTTCAACAACATGTACAAATTTTGTAGCAATAATAGTAAGCATATGCATTGCACATCTTATGTACTGATGAATGAATATATATGAATAACACTTTTTTATAAATTTTGACAAATGAAAATATGAAATCACATAAGAAAATACCTATAAATCAACCCTCATCCACCTCGGCAAAAGGAGAAAAAGGAAATATGAAAATAAATAAATAAAAGTATCTCTCTGATGGTAAATTCCTCATTGGACTTCCTTGTCTGCCTATCACCGACTGTCATCCCCCACCACTCACCCGTCCTATGGCGACTCCATCATTTCATCAAATGATGGAGTCAGTTTTCTTTTGTCGAATCTAATTTCAACTTTGAACATGTTAACATCAAGCTAATGGATCTGTCAAATCCGGTTTCACTTTCTCTATCAAAGCTAATTATACTTTCTTGTTTCATGACAAGTTGAGGGAACTTTTGCTTTCAATATACATTAGTGTGACAATTATTGTGTCACTTAATTATTTTTCTAGCGAAATAAACAAGATTTAAAAACCAACAAGTGGCACAAAATTCCAAGAAAGCTGCCACTTTGCGAATAAAAAAGTTCCTGTGAGTGGCCAACCGGCATCAACAATATTCTCTAATAAGTGTGACCTAAACGAGTTGCATCAAATCAATAAATTTGTTTATCTTCAAATTTACTAGGGATCCAGTTTGACTTTACTCCTTTCTCCTTCACATATAAGTTACCTATACATTTGGACACACATATTAGAGGTACAAATCGAGACTTCTCCAATGAAAAGGCGAGGAAGGTTTCGATCAAACACGCTCCGATACTTGAGTCAATAAATGGATAGATAATTTAGTGTAAGAGAAATACGAATAGAGAAGAAACGTGGGAGTAGAGTTTGATTTCTAAATTGTTAATTTGTAATTACCTTCAAATAACATCGATCTAGTCTGAATATTTATGATAAGCAAAAAGAGGTAAATAGTCATTTGACCTCACACACATTGTCCTATACAGAAAAATTAATTTGACATCTCATGTGCTCAATGTGTCAGGTTGCAACTTGCGCGAGACATTAAGAAAAGAACATATATCCCCTAAAAATCAAGAAGACCACAAGGTGCAGCTAAGGGTTAGGTCCTCTTGGGCACCTTGGGGAGAAGTAAAAATCTATTGTGAGTTGTGTTGTCTCGAAGACAGTCGTCGACAAGATATTAGTTTGTGAAAAATCAATTAATACTTGCTTGATATTTTGCTTAGTTGACAACCAAATTATCTACCACGTAAACAGAGTCATAACAGTAGTTTCTCAAATCCAAGATGTGATTATTCATATGGAACACTTGACTTTGAAGATTGCAAGACTTTCATAACTGCATATTCAGACCTTGTTATAAGGGCGAGAGAGTTGACGGCAATTTATTAAATCATCGCCAAAAGTGAGGAAATATACCACCACACAATGATGATATTGGAAATCCAAGCACTCTTTAATCTTGCTATCTCAAACTTTATAAAAAAAAATGCAGTCACCCACCAAGAATAGGGTTTCTATTGCCATTACATGTAACCAATCTGGCCTCAACTTACCTCTTTCTCGTATCAACGATTAATTGGTCCTCCTGTAACAAGAAAGAAACTAACTCGATGTGACATAGCGAGCATGTGTTTTTGTTCAAAACTGTACAAATCATAACAAACAACAAAGTGGATTTGAGAGTTTGAATTATCATTCTCACGGTGATTACTATCTAATTAATGGTACAACTATTCCTAACTTCAATTCGATTGATGAAAAATAAAAGTAGTTATTTTCTTTTTGTGAAATTTTAATTTTAAATGTACTAAAATAATAAAAGTAATTTTTTTTATGCGATGATTTGTTAGGAGTCACAAGTTCACCATAGTTATCCATCCCCCTTATTAATCTCATTTCCAATTTTTATAATAAGTGATTATGTGGACCCGTTGAATTCTTCTAAACGAATTCGAACTAATCCTACACAATTAAGTCAATCCACCATATCTCTGTGTAAATCCGAATAAGTCTTAATCAAGAGCATTCAATCACAAAGAACTCATGTAACAACTACGACAAACATAAAAATGTATCTCTACAATTTATCCAAATTGCAAGTTTTCACTGTGGTATAAACAAATAATTCATCTCTCGACGTAATTATTGTTCACTAGTCAATGAATTAGTGGGCAATTAATCCAAAACATTAAAATAATAATTCAAAACTAGATTAAAATTGTTCATCCTAATTAATTACTTAATTGTCGATTATGGAGATGAGTAAAACAAGAAGAAATTAAAGTCTATCACTGGGTTTTAAGAATTAAAAAAAATGAAGATCATGCCCTATGAATTCACATTCTTCTTGTAAAAGCCTTAAAATCCTAGCTTTCTCGATTAATTTCCTGATTGTTCTCTCCTTTTCTTATAATTGATATGACTTTTGTGTCCTGATAGGCCTTTATGACTTGGATATATGTGAATAGTGAATCCCCCAAATATCAACTTGACTATATGTGCTAAACGTTGTCATGTGCATTGCACGAATTTTATATTTATTGTATTTTTATTAGCGTCGAAATTGTAGATTTTTCAAAACTTGTTGAAAATTCTAAGTGCTAGGTAAAATCCGATAATTTGGTTCATTGCATTATCACAAGATGCACGGAGATTTCTTTTTCGTTTTTTTTATCCTCATTTATTTTTTCTATTTTTTAAATTGTTTTGTTCATATTATAAATATTTTTTTTGATTTTAAATTCTTTTCTCATTATGTTAAAACTTAATTTTTACAATTTTAATTAAATATTATTTATATATATTATTTATTTAGTTTTCGTAACTTTCTTTTGTTTAATTTGATTTGTTTTTATTATATATTTTTTAAAAATTGTTTTAAAATTTATTTTTTCATGTTGAAAATAATTTTTTGTTTGATTTAAGTTTTTTTTTAATTCTTTTCATTTTATGATAAATCGTAATTTTTTTAATTTTAATTAAATGATATTTAATTTTAATTTTAATTATTTTAATTTAATTAAAAACTTTATAATAACTTTTTTTTTGTTTTTTAAATTTTTGTCTGTAATTTTTTTAATTTATTAAATAATTTAGTTTTTTTTATTAGCATTGGTGTAAAATGATAGCTACATTTCGATTTGCTTAATTTTTTTAGATTATGCTTTACTCCATTATCTCTTGTCTAATATTCTAACATTTGAATTTTTGCAAGATGGAATACCATCTAGATGCGAAGTTGAGAAGGATAATACTTAAGATTTGGAGTCTCGATTTTAATCATTATCTTAATTTTTTCCATTTTTGGGGAAAAGAAAATCATCTCAAACAATAAGGTAATCAGTGAATTTAACGTACATTGATCAAGATTTAATTATTACTAATTAAATAATTAATATTTTTCTATAATTATATATAAGATATATTCAATCTTTTATCATATTAATGGAATAAAACGGTGTTATTTTGTCATTCAACGTAGGGAAACGATATACAGTGAGATAAAATGCAACTAAACACTTCAGATATAAACAATGAGGGTGTACTGTAAATACAGGGTAAAATGGATAAAAGAAATGGAAATTAATAGAGACATAATAAAAGGCAAAAAATATATATACAGCTCAAACTCCTCATTCCCCTCTTATACAGTAGTGAAGTGAAATGTCACTATATCAATCACGAAAATGATTAAAAACAACACGACGTTATTTTTGTTCCCACGATGAAAAAAATTGCTACAGTGTGATAAAATAGAGAAATTCACTGTTCCTAACTACAGTACTTTCCCATTCTCTTTTTTATATAGTAGTGATATAATGAAACTGTTAAGCATATTGGCTTGATTATATGTGTATTGTTGACCTCGAAAATTGGACCCTCTACGTGGCCAACCGATAGCCACTCCACGTATTCCTCCCTGCGCACAATCAACGCACGGTCAGATGCACACGGCTTGGACTAGCGGGGGTGGTGGCGACTGTATACACTCCGACGGTCAAGTTAGGCTCAGGTGATCGGAATAGTACCAAGGTTGTGCAAAATAGTGGGGAGGAGAATATATATTTTCTTGCTATGGAGTGCTAAATAGGAAGAGTTTCATTACCTTTGCCTCTTCCCAAGCCTTGGGTATTTATAGGTGAGGAGAGCCGTTGGACGTGAGACACGTGTATGCATCTGAACGGTATGAGGCGTCTGCTTAGGAGGGAGCACAGTGATCGAGGCGATGACCCACAGGGAGCTCCGCGTCAGGTGCGCCTACGCTTTGTAAAGTTGAGCGAGGAGCTCGATCCGAGGCGGATGTGTCTGACGTTAAATGATTTGACAGCTACTGCGTATTTCCAAGGTGACAGTTGGATGCAGCGCTCATTCTCCTAAAAGGCTACAGCGACTACTTATTGTTGACAGCTGGTGGTGACCGAGGTGGCACGTTATATGTGAGCATGAGGATCACAACAAGATCTTAGGCGTAGATCAAATTTGGTGTTTCATTTCAACGGCCTAGATTGATGGTGCGACGGACGACCTAGATTAATTGCATTTGAATTTGACAGTGGAGATTAGTTGGAGCGCTCTATAAAAAGCGGAGTTGAGCACTTTTGGAGTTTTTTACTCTTGCAAAAATAGAAAACTCCATTGCTCTCAAATCTCTTTGCGATTTCCGGCGTTCTTCAAGCATTTTTGGCGAGAACTTTGATTTTTCGGCAACCACACACCACTTTTTGACCATTTTTGGCTGGGAAACACTCAAACTCGTAAGTTTTAGTAACTATTTTGAGATTTTTCCTTTCTGAAAATGGCCTCCGAGGGTAGTGCTAGTTCGGGGAGGGGACTGGAGTTAGTACGGATGGACAAGCCCATTGTGGCGACCTAATCCGAAATAGGGGGAGAATATTTGGAAGAGGCCGGATAGCCCAGTAGACACCTCTGTGCATTGAGGAGCGTTGGATTATCCCTCCAAGCTAAAGGAGGCCGACCTAAAAAGACTTAGGACCGAATATAGGATACCTGACAGTATA